ATTTATTTACTAAGATTTTTTTTTTGCCAGACTGAAGATAATGCTACAGAATCATCCCAGAATGCAACTCTTTAAAAAAAAAAAAATCCTTATTTGAGATAATTTAAACTCCCCCTCACTTTACAACTAATTAATTCTCATTTTTATCTGTTTTTTTTCCAGACCTATGAAGAGGACTATACTTACGTATTCCAGATGTTGCTGAACTATAGTATCCCTTGCTATTGATCTCACTTTCTGGGAGTTGTAATTCATTAGCATTTGGAGTACTATAGGATGTCTACTCATGTTCTACACTATACTAATTTTCTATTCAAAAAGTGAATGTTGCCCAGCTATTTTTTCTCAGCAGAAATATAAATACATCTAAAAAATATTTGCTCCCCAAATTCCGCCTTAAAATTCTCTATGAATATTTAATATTTTCATTGATTTCCGACTGTGAACATAAAATGCTAGTCAGTAATTTATTTCATTTATTTTTATTTAATGGATTTGTGTGTGTGTGGGTATTTATATATTATATTGACAGCATAAGATACATTGTGCTCAAATTGCACCTGGCAGATGACATACAATGCAATATGATTAAAGAATAACAGATAAAGAATCTTGAAATTTCCATGCCTCTGCAGTCAAGAGATTTTTAGTGAATCTTGCTCTCTCCAGTTCACTAACAACACTAGTCATTCAAGAGCGCTAATAAGTGTTTTCCTTTTTTTCTTATTTGGTATGCTTTTTATTCGTCTATTTGTTTCAAGTGCTTCTATGCACTTAGGTCAATTGAATCTATGTGGCTTACAGAATCAGATATCTATATTATAAAAAGGGATTCTACATTACAAAAAAAAGCAAATACCAAATATATAGCCATAATTCAATAAAACAGCCATTATTACTAGTACCCATCGCCCATCTCAAGTACATTATTGAAGTGCTGATCTGATAAATCTCCAAATGCTCTCCAAAAAAAATCTCATGTAGCTTCCTGAACATCAAAATGGGGATCTTATTTATGGGGGTGTTATTCCACATGAGGGGAGCTAAAACAAGAAATGCCAGCCTCTACGTTCCTCCTCACCACCCTTCACAACAAAGGGAACCTTCAGCATCTGTAGTAGATTCTATCTGAAAAAAGCAGTCTCATACATAGCCAGGCCCAAGCCACTACCTACTTATTTTGGGATTTTCTGTCCCTCCTTGTTTCAAATGAAAAAGGAAAACTCTTTTTGTCCTCATCATCACTTGTAACTATGAACCACATGGTTTTCTTCACATCACAGTAGAGCAGTACATACATATAAAAGGGGACTAGCTTTAAAAGAACAAGTCAGCAGGAATCTCTGACAGCAATCTCTGCACATTAGGGGAATGGGTGTCAAAATTGCAGATGTCATTCAATGTGAGTAAGTGTAAAGTGATACACACTAGTGCAAAAATCCTAACTGCTCATACAAACTAGGGATCATAGCTAGCATTAACTGATGAGGAAAGAGATCTTGGAGTAATGGTAAACAGTTCAATGAAGGGGTTGGCACGGCTGATCTAAAAAAAGACCAACACAATGTGTAGTTAAACTTTGGAATTTGCTGCCATGAGATGTGGGGCTGGCTGCCAGGATTGGACCAATTCATAGAAGTCATGGGGTTCAGTAGTTATTAGCCTTGATGACAATGTGATTGCCTCTGGCCATCTGCTGGGAGACAAATAGGTTTCCTTGTACAGTTGGTTGGCCACCATGAGAAAAGACTACTGAACTAGATGGGCCAGGGGTCTGATCCAGCAGGGTACTGCTTCACTTGTTTGTTATTTAGTTTATGTAGCTACTCATCTCTCAGAAGTGATTTTGGGCGGCTTACAAGAGTAAAACAAACAACCTTCCCAGACAACCCCCAGCGCTTAAGAAAACTGTTGACTCAACTCACCAATGACGGCAGACCTCATCTATCTGCTGGCCCAAATGCCTGGTGGAACAGCCAGGTCTTCAATGGCTTGCAAAAGGCTGGGGCCATCCGAATCCCTGGGAAGGGGGGTTCCATAGGACAGATGCTGCCGCTGAGAAGGCATGACTTTGGGGTCCAACAAGATGACATTGTTTAATAGAAGGGACTCAGAGCATGCCTTCTCTGCTAGATGTGATGGAGCAGGCAAAAACAAGGGGACAGAGGTGGTCCTGCAAGTAATCTGGCCCTATGCCATAAAGTGTTTTATAGGTAATGACCAGCACCTTGAATTGCACTTGGAAGCCTACTGGGAGCCAGTGCAGCTTGTGGAGCAGCAGTGTTACACAAGTGAACGAGGAATGCCAAAAAAATTGCCAAAACCCAGCTGCAGCTTCTGAATGCTTTTCAGAGGCAGCCCCGTGTAAAGCATGTCACAGTAATCCAAATGGGAGGTAACTAAGGCATGAGTCACCATGAGCAAAGCCTCCCGGCACGCGTTTTATGTAATGCAGTGTGTTCACTTCATTACTATAAAAGAGAACACTTACCGGGAAATCTTAGACAAAAATAAGCAAAATAATAAATTGGGTATACATAACAATATTGTAAATCTAATCCACCTGCTTTATCACAATCCCTGATGTAAAGTACAGGCATTTCCTTCAATCAGGAGCTTGGTGAGAAATTACAGCTTGCCGCAACAACTCCAACTTCTATTCTTTCATCTAGTGATTTTCCAACCTTTGGCTCTCCATCCTTGTTGAAGAGAAGTTTCACTTCTTCAGTGCTCTGTGCCACTCTCCTTTTTTTCAGTATGCATGTCCAACAACCTAATGACTCAGCTACAAAGCTAAATGAAACATTATCTTGTGGTAAAGTTGCATTTCAGTTCAAGAATTAAACTGTCAAGATATGATAAAAAGATAAGCTATCTATGAAGACCCCAAGTTGTTGTTTTTTTTTTTTTGGTAACAGAACTCAAATTTTCATAAATTGGATACCTACTGACCAATCCATTCAGTGACCATTCAGTGATACTGAAGACTGTGTCTTCAGTAAAGCTCTTGTGTCATGAAATTTCAAGGAAGGAAATCAGGTTGATTGAGATTGTGCTGACATATGAAACTTTTATTAATGACAGGACCTACCTCTGCACTGCCTCCATACATGTATGTCATTAATATGTTATGTTTTGTTTGTCCCTTGTTGGCCTAGTGACAGATTTCACTTACCATACTAAGCTATGATTGAAGCTTAGATTGAGAGCCAGTTTGGTGTAGTGATTAAAATGCTGGGCTACAGACTAGGAGACTAAGAAAGTTCCAGTCCTCCCTTAGGTAAGGAAGCCAGCTGGGTGACTTTGGGCCAGTCTCTCTCTCTCTCTCTCTCTCAGTCCAACCCACCTCATAGGCTTCCTGTGGGGAAAACAGGAGGAAGAAGCATTGTGTATCTCACTTTGAGATGAACAAAACACAGGCAGGATATATATCAAATAAATAAATAACAAATAAAACCTGCCCTTCAAATACACATCTTATCTAACAGAGGCACCAAAGAAAAGATACACAGAAAAGGAAGCAAAACTAAAACATACAAGTGAAAAAAATTGAATTAACTGGGATTAGATAATCAACACTAGTTCTTCTGAATATGGAAAATGCTGGTCAACAAAGCTGCTGCAGCTGCTGCTGGCTAGTTAATAATTATGTCATCAGAAGGTAAATGCTTTGCAAAACAAATATTTGATCTCTTCTACAAAATATATATTGCCATTTTGTTTGCAGATGAATTAGGTTCATCCAGAACTTGAAGCTCCAGTAATTACAGGTCGTGAAAGAAAGACCTACCAAGAAACTCTTTGTTCTCTTCAGAAATGAAACACTACTTTTAATTCACAAGAACAGGAGCAAGCTCACTGCAAGATCTAATTAGTTTAACCAACCATGCCAACAAGGGCTTGTTCATCTGCACATCTTGAAAAGTGCTCTGTGCCATTATGTGCCAACAGTTACTTTTGCCACTGCCACAGGCTAAATGGGAGAGTTTCATTTGAAAGGGAAGTGGCTTGCACATTACAGAAAAATAATGGCCCTTTCTTAGAGCCCATACGTAATTCACCCCTGCCAGTTCCTTATCAAACAGGAATAGGTCACATTCTCTGGGAGGAGAGCTTTTATCCTCTTGATCGAATGTCTTTGGTTTTGTGCTCTGCACGGTAACTCTCTCTCTTTCACTGGTTAACTTTGAAAAAGGAGCCTTTCCTCCCCATCCCACAGTCTGTTGCAGCATGGCTACACTTCTGCAATTAGCTTCCTGGGGGTTTTGAACCAAGCAAACTATAAGGTTGTAGTTTTGCAAGTTTGTTCAGTTAGTTGCTGACATAATTATAATCAATAAAAAGGGCTGCTAGAATACAAAACAATGCTGAATAATATTTCTGCTAGGTTGCTGTGGACAGGAAAAAGATGATTTTATATAGTAGCTTTTTGGCTCCCATTTTGCTTCAGATCTACTTCTGGAATAGAACTACTGCTTTCTGCATAGATTCTATTCCAAAAGTTATTTTTAGTCTAACAGAACCTGATAAAGTTGATTGAAATTGTAATTTCTTTCTTACAGTATCTCAAACTGCATTTTATTTATTTATTGTTGTGCCTGTGAGTCAGTGTTGACTCCTGGCAACTGCCTGGACAAGTCCCTGCACTTTTCTTGGCAAGCTTTTTCAGACGTGGTCTGCCATTACCTCCTTCCTAGGGCTGAGAGAGAGTGACTGGCCCAAGGTCACCCAGCTGGCTTTATGCCTAAGGTGGGACTAGAACTCATGGTCTCCTGGTTTCTAGCCTGGTGCCTTAACCACTAGACCAAACTAGTCCATTAAATTGTATTTTAGGTACCAGAAAACTTTGCCAAGCAGCCAGCCTTAAGTGAATCAATACATC